CACACTGAGAAGGTGTGCGTTGTTCTCGGGTGTCACACCGCTACATGTCAGCCAGCAGCTGGGAGAGGTTTGTTAGGCTTCATCTCACAGTTTGGCAGCGTGGTGGACAAGCTGCGGCGCGACACTCCACAGAATAAGGCTGCGTGGGTTTACTGAAGGTTTACCGAGCCACAGTGTTTGTGAGTGGGTTTCCATGCGCCCGCTCCGCCTGTGTTTATGTCGCTTTTCAAGCAAGAATATCCCAAAATGACTGGTTCCATGCAGGAGTTGAGAGCTGGTGTCTGCCTTTGGAAACTGGACCTCTTCATTCTGAGGACACAAATCAAACTTGGTTCATAGCACCTCTCACACACGTCTCCCTCTACACAATAAGCAGTATAGATAATGGATGGATGAATTTATTAGTGCTGTGTGTTTTGCAGTGTCAGTGGCAAGCACTAGGAGCACTGGTCTGGCCACCAGTGGGTCCAGTAGGACCATTGAAGTCCCAGAGACCTGCTGACCTGGTGGTCCCTGCAGCTGTACATGTGTTCAGGTCCCAGTCTGAGCTCCAGCAGTGACGGAGGAGATGTGGCCTATGCTGACCTCCTGTCTCTGGCCAGTGAGGACACCATCTCCAGGAGGGTGAGTCAAACACAGACCCTGTTCTCTGTGCAGTCGGTCCTGTGATCGGGTGATAGCTGTCCAGTATGATGTTTAGATTCAACGATTCGGATGTCCGCTGTTCGATCTCGGTAAACAGATCTGTTCATGTCACGTTCAAACCTCTCCATTCCAGCTCCACTCAGCAGCGAGACTTGATCTCAGCTGTAGACATATATTTTAAACCACATTTGTACATCTTCATCTGAGAAGGCCTGTCAGGAATGAGCGAAGCTGCACTAAAAAAATATAAACCTAACCCTCATCTTGTCACGATGAACCTCCTGAACTGAACAACAGCGATACTCCCCTCTTAACAAAACATTCATGTTCCTTGGCAGAGCGCTCCAGTTCCATCATCAGACAAAAAGGATCTCTTTATGGAGGGGTCACTCGGGGGAATATGGAGCGAGTTGAGTGTGCGCCGAGGCTGCAGTGTAATCATAATTCCCTTGACCTCTGGTGACCCCTGTGAGCTCTGACAATGCAGGCCACGTTACAGAACAGGCGGCTGCTTTCATGGCGCCGCCCGCTCCAAAATGACTTTTTCATTTCTCCAACAATCATACGGCGGCGGCGGTGGAGAATGAGAGGGCAGATTACATGAGGCGGGGGCTCCTGGTGAGATGAGCGCTTTTTCTCCAAAAAGACAGAGACCAAGTCGTTGTCGGTGTCCGCTCTCATTAGAATTCCCCTCAGACTCGAAGCCTGATCTGAATGCATCCATGATGGTTGGAAAATCTTAATTAATATGTAAATGTGTGCACGATTTTCAGGAGAAACCTCGTGTGAAGGACTTTGTTCTTTCTGTGGATGCTGCTCCAGTTTGATGCTTTAAAATCCGACGTTGTTGACGTCCTTATTTACATCGTTCATACAAGTTAGTGTAACTAAAAGGGCCGTACAGGTCAGCGGTACTAAGACAAACGTAAAGTAATAAGTCAGTCTGAGGCTCATGCACGTGTGTGATGTAATAACAAAACCAATAAAATGGATAAAACTAGTTTTTAAAAGCAGTGAAACAGACAAAGACAACAAATCAAACCGACAGCAGAGGGAGGGAATAAGTATGTTTTGAAACACAAAATCAATATATATTTAGAATTAAATATGTATTATTGTAGCTTTACCCAAGTAGTTGCTGCTTTACCCTGACCAGACACACGCAGGTTGCAGATCAGTAAACAAAATTGTTTCTGAAATAATTCTGATTGGTTTCATCTGTCAAAATAACAAATAACCTATTTTACCATTTAGATAAAGGACATGCTCAGCTGGGATCTGACAGGCTGGCGTGCAGGAGTCACAACAGGGTTGATCTGGATGAGTTGCCGATCCCACTGTGTCACCGTGTCCTCTCAGTCAGAGGCCACAGGTTCCACGTTTTCCTGAGTCAGAACACACACACACGAATTTAACAGGACACGTTAGGTGTTTTACTGCTCAACATATAATCTCAGTTTCTCCCTCAATATAATAAACAGAGGGGGAAGCAGAGTTCCAGCTTCATCGCTGCAGTGGGATTGAGGAGTCAGGAGTCTTTTTAAGTAATATAGATTAGTCATGCGTCAGTGAAGCGGACTTCATCACAGTCTTTAATGCATTTTTATCCGTCTCACTGGTCTGTTTAGGAACATTTCATTTTCAGACAGATGCAGCGAATCATGACTGCAGAGCTGAGCTCTGAGTCAGAGAAGTGTAATTAAAAGAGAGTCGTGGCCTCACGGGCTCCTGCCTCATTGTAATAATAAATCATTTGTAGCTTCAGGTGCTCGCTGTGTCAGTACCTTAGAGATGCTACAGACACACAACTGACACATCAGGCCACGTAAAATTAGACCGTATAATACTGTGTATTGCTGGTCTGATTTCCACCTGTTTTATTATGGTAGCAGCTGTATGATCACTTTGTCATTTTATAATATACTATAGTACTACTACCTATGTTATTATATTTATATTATATTACGTATATGAGGTTACTCTTGAAAAGACATTTCAATCTCAGGGAGGCTTTTACCTGGGTAGATAAAGCATAAAATAAAAATGTGATATTCTCTTCCATTTGTGTTACAAGCTGCGTTCTCACACAGCACAAGTTCTGTTTATTGATGACGCCACTGTTTCCCCTCTGACACTGTGGGGATTATGCTCACACACCAAATCACAACAAAAGTCGTCTCAGGACACTTTACAAAGTCAGGTCTAGACCTTACTGTTATTATTATTGTTGTTATTATCATCATCATAGAGGAAAAACCCAACAAATCCCCCTTGAGCAAACACTTGGTGACAGCAGGGAGGAAAAACTCCCTTTAACAGAAGAAACCTCCGACAGACCCCAGCTCTTGGTGGGCGGCCTTCTGCCTCGACTGGTTGGGGTGAGTGGATAGAGGAGACAGAAAAGAAGAAAAGCAACAAGACACAACAAACAATCAAACACCGGTCAGGTTGATGTGGCCGGTGACTGCTCATCAGAAGCATAGAGCTCCAGAGCCAGGGCTACCTGCAGAAAGGTACAGGGAGAGAGAGAGAGAGAGGGGACACACTACAGGAGAGGGGAGACACAAAGTTAGTGACGGGTAGTGGTGGCAGATAGATAGATGGATGGAGGGGGAAGGCAGGCAAACGACGGGTAGAAATCATTTAAGTTGAGCACCAAGCTCCCCCTGAGTTTTTATCTATAAAGACTTTGGTCCCAAAGTGAATAATGTGACAGAGCTTCTATGCGAGCTCCTTCTTCCTCTTCTGCTGCAAAGTGCAGGCTGTCAGGTTTATCTGGGATGTTAGAAGCTGATGTGTTTGTCTCATTTAGCCGTTTTTCTTTAGAACAGTTGTCATAGTTTTAGTTCATGTATTAAGTGTGAGGAATCTTCAGCTGTCTTCAGGATGTAATGTTTTATATAAGTGCAAAACTCTTATTCGCACTTAAACACTGCAGTTTGTGACGTGCCCCTGAGGCCCATTGTTCTGTTCTGTTGCCTGCCTGCACTCGTCGTGCTCTGCGTCTATCTCGGCCTCATGAAAGAAAGATCTTTAATCTCACTGAGGGTTTTCTGGTTAAACAAAGCTGAAACTGTTCTGTGCTGCCGGAATGTAAATTTCCCCTGAGGAACAGTCTTTTCTTTTCTTTTGTTATCCTGTAGCTTAATCTTCACAAATGCCTTTTGTTTAATTAATGTTGCTAATAACTTTAATCGGTGCAGCTGAGAGCACCTTGACAGATAAATTGACTTATCACATTGATCAGATGATCAGAGTTTGTCCTTGGAGGCTCCAGATAAAACAAATGCTTCTGGGATCTGAACCCAAGAAGAATGTTGTCTTTTTACTCCAAAAGGGAGTTACAAAGATGAAGAATTGGAAGGATTTATAAAACTTTGTGTTGCTCTTATTTCTTCTTTTATTGTGTGAAAGCAACTAACAAAAGTGATTGAGACAAAACAAGACATAAAGGGTTAATTCACTCACGGTGTAAATCTCAGCAG